CAGGGTAGCAAGCAAGCAGTCTGTGAAATGATGCGAGACTGATTTTGTTAACATGAAGCGAAGACATTGTTAGTAAAATTGTTACGTTGAAGATGTGCAGGCAAAGAAACACAGAAATGGAAGGACGCGTTTCGAACACTGACGCGAGATCACGTGTCCACTAAGTGTCCCGGGTTGTCAGTTGTTGGTGTATCGTTTTGAATGTTACAAATAGTTACACGAACACTAGCATCAAGAAAAGCAGAATTTGACTACAGATTAGAGACTTTTGATTCTAAGTAGTGGGAAATCTAGTGTAAACTACTTTCTCAATTCTGTGATCAAGTAAGCTCTGAATATTCCTGTTCTCAAAGGCGAGTTCTTCAACTTGCTCCTTCGATAGAACGTGTCAAAGACATGTACAATGCCCTCCTGTCCACCATCATTCGCGGTCAGTCGTCTCAAAACAGGCTCCATATCGTAACGCATTACTGAACAAAATTCGTTCAGGGGTATAGAAACAAATATCACTCCTCACTAATGCAATCACAAAAGATTGGCGATTGACATCCTACGTCGTCTTCCTCGGTCGTCCCCTGGGTCGTCCCCGTCCCCGAGTACCATATCCTGAACCTCTTGTAGGTTTCATTACAGGACGACCTGGCGGTCTGCCAACAGGCCTTTTGGGGGCGGGAGCAGTCGCAGGAACCTCATCTTCACTCTCCGTGTCCGATACGTTAATTGGCTGAGCCCTCTTGTTCACGGGAGTAAACTGTGATGGCGGGGCAGTAACATTGGTAGCCCCGTTGCCGCTGCGATTGGATGATCCAACAATCTTGATTTTCTTCCCGTTGAGGTTACTCAGAATTGAGTTGGTATGCTGAGGGGGACCGTTCCGGACGGGCTCTGGGACACTGATTTCAGATTGTGCTTCATCTTCAGAGGGCTCATCCTCGGCAGGTAGATTGCCAAGAAAACTGTCTATAATTTGATCATCATCGTCCGAGTGGGGAAACAGGGCCATCTTTGCGCGGAGATTCTCTTTAGCATCAAGTGCTGCAGCCTCCCGTGCTTCGACCTCGCATGCTGCAGCTTCCATTGCTTCGGCTGCTCGGAATTCGGCCTCCATTGCTTCAGCCGCTTCTTCTGCAGCTTCTGCAGCTTCTGTTGCAGCTTCTGCACGCGCCGTGGTCTCATCCACTATGTGCTGGAGTTCTAAGGCAGTGGCAGCGGCCGTGGCCTTCTGTGCGAGCATAACTGCATCGCCGGCCTCGGTATCTTCTTCGTAGATACCATCTTCATCGGAAGCGTTACCAGAAATGTCGTCCGCACTTTCCTGATGTATGTTTGTGGTGGGTTTTTCACTGGGTCGGATGCTAGCCGTCTCTTGTGCGGCCATGTTCTGTCGCCGTTCCTTGTACATTCGGTTCCGTTCCCTGTCTTTTTCGCGGCCGGGTCTCACAGTGCCATCCCTAAAATCTGGAGGCAGCTCAGTTGGTAGATCCTCACCGCCTTCAGTTCTCCGTGCTAGCCATGTAGACCTACGGCTACGAGGTTGACTGACATATTCCGTCTCGTCTTCATTAGCAAACTCCTCATCGGAATCCAGCGTGAACTCTTCGAACTGTCTGGGACCTCGAGGCCTACCAGGCTTTGCAGGGCCGCTGATCTCTGGGTTGCGCTTGTGTATCGAGTATGCCCCATCATCCTCTACGCGAACACGATATGTCTTTACTTCTTTCCCCTTTTCTGCCACAGTACCAGGTTGTTGCATCACATCCGATTGTAATATCGACTGCATGCCATGTGACATATCGAATTCCTCAGGAGTACTTTCGCGTAAGACTCGTGCACATTCTGGGACCGGTCTTTGGCGGATTTTGTCAAGAAGGCCCGTTGCCAAAGACAGTTTGACAACCTTCGATTTGCCTTTCATCCTAGCGGTGACTAAGATGAGCCTGTCTTCACGTTTGGCATCCTCGAGTAGCTTTTTCTGCACTTCTTTCTGATATTGTTTTCCAGGTACACTCTTTGGCTGCAGCGATTGCGATTCGTCCTTTTTCTGTTTCTTGGCTTTTGTCTTCTTCCGTCGACGATCCTCTACACCGTCGTGTCCATCGCGGGTGCGTTTTTGACCAAGGCGCGGGATCTCACCATCCATGCTAGGTTCGGGGTAGTACAAGTCTCCGTTGGCATCGTGAATTTGAGATGTGCTGGCAAGGCCACTGTCGTTATCCTCAACGGGAGAGTAGGTGATTCCGTATCTTGTATTAGCACGTTCGTCGTCATCAATGAACCGCGCATCGAGTGAAGGATCTATCAACTTGTCCATCTCGGCTTGCTGCATTCGGCGTTGCATCGCGTTCTGGGCTATGCCATCCTCTTCTGGTAACCAGTTGAGATTGGAGACGCTGAAATCGACAAGGCATTCTACTGAGCGTACATCGGCCACCTTTTTGGTATCGTGACCGAGCAGAGTTCCCTTTGGTTCATAGGGGTGCTGCCTGGGATCGCGCCGGCAAGCGCCCGTGTTACAGACCCTCAAGCAATGTGGGCATTTCCAGTTGTGGGCCTCCATGACTCCTACTGGCATCATATCGTGTGCACGGAATAGCGTTCCGTAGCAATACGCCAGATCACAGCTGGAGCAAAATGCCATTTTCCACTTTGGATGTCGATGAAGGCAGAAATGGCACGATTTGTGTTTTGCCAGCCATTGTTTTGACTTTCTGTTCGTGACCTTTTTGACGTTGCCGTATTCGTCCATAACAGGTTCCTCGTCATCGGAAACACTTTCTGGCTGTGGGTTGTTAATGTCGACAAATGGACGGATCCGCAATTGCTCCTGGCAGACCTGGGCGAGGGTCTTCTTGCCGAGATACCTTCGTTCTTCTTGCAGTGGGAGTGGCGTCTTTTCGTTCACATGGCCATCGATGTTGATGATTTGAGCTCGCCATTCTTCGTACTTGTGAATGAGGTCCTTCCATTTCCACTGCTCAACCCATGTGTAGCCCGATTGGCAACCACAGCTTCGGCCCATGCAGTAACAATCCATGCAAACATCATATGGCTCCTCAATCTCAGAACTGAACATGTTCTTGCAAGACTTGCAGCTCAAAAAGCGGTTGAAAATATTGCACCTGCAATACGAACATGTGACATTACTGTCGTATGCTAGGAACTCGGCGTGTTCCCGTGAGTCAGGCGCAAACATTTCTGAGAGGAGGATTTTCTTATACATATCAAAGAGTCGTTTGAAATCCTTCTGAATTTGCTTTACCTTGCTGGAGCGGCGAATCGCTTCAGCTTGCTCGCCGCCTGCCTGGATCTGGGCGCCAGCAATTTTGATCAGGTTTGAATACTTGAGAAGGGTGTAGTATACGATGGCCTTGTTTTTGTATTGTTCATCACGGCAGACGATACGCGAGTTGGGTAGCGCCTCGCTCAGAGCCAGTTCTAGAGTCTCGACAGTTGTGCGATTCCAGGCAATTTTCATGGTACGAGTGCCACGGTTCCAGACTTGGTGAGGCGCCAGTGGCGGGATCAGGATAAAATCTCCAGGACGCTGCTCTACAACATAAGTCCGAAATGGAGCCTTCTTCCACGCGATGAGCTGTGCAAAATGGTTCTCAACCTCAATATCGTGGCCCAGTATTGATAGCCAATATTCTGAGACAACATGGCGGTCTTTGCTTTCTGTCATGAACCAGATGGATGAACCGGGACGCTCTTGCTTGCCGTCTTCGCCAATGTTGGTGGAAGCATTCACCATGATATTCTGGCCGAGTGATGCACACATCTCCCGATGTGAAGGTGTATAGGTGCCTTCATGCCCAATATAACACATGAGATTCTCTGCGCGCATTTCAGGAGGCAGACTGCTCATGAGGTCTCCGGCTCTTCCAATGCCACGACCTTTGCGCACCCCAAACTCATCCGGTGCGCCAGGCCCGTTTGCATCGCCCGTGCTCTCATTCAGGTAGAACAATCCAGTAGGAATATGCTCTTTGAGTTTGTCGTGCCATACCTGTGGGCAATCTATGTCCTTCAGGTATATCCGTTGTCTCTTTTTGTCTCTGTATCGGTCGGGCTCATCGAAGAACTGCTCAGTCAACTTGGGCATATGCTTGAGGTAATGCTTGATAGTGAGAGGAATGTTTTCCTGCGTCATGAGATTACGTGCGTTCTCCACTACATTTCTGTTAGCTATGCGCCTAAGACTGTCGCAACGTAGTCTGCGTACCTTTGTCGCCATGGTTGTCACGCAGCCATGATGGCGTAAAGGTCCAGGGATCCAGTACTTCATCGAAGCCATCGATGACAAGGGGTTTACCACCTATGATTACATGCAACAAGACGAGTTTCTCAAATGCTTCTATACCGTTGGTCGCAATCATTTCATACGATATGCGGTCGACATATTGAAAATTGTCGGCATTTTCGACAAAGGTGCGCACGTCAAAGTCGGGTGGGATGGGTTCGAAAGAAGCCCGGGGGCGCGCAGCTGGCATTGTTGCAGCCGTTCGCTGGCATCCAGGAATCCAGTCGCAAAATCAGTGGGGTGGTAGTACGTGAGAACAGCAGTCGCTTTTGCGGCACAGTCAGAATTGCAAAACACGGGAATTTGCGCTGGATTAGTTGTTACAAGGAACTATGATCGCAAGGGTTTCAAGAGAAAGTCCCTTGGGAAAGGCACCTCATGTCGGCTTAAGGGCAAGGAAGTAAGCTTGGAAGATGTGGTCGCGAGACACCTGTCGCGACTTGACGAGCGATCACGTGTTCACGGGAATTAGCGCGAACTAGCCTTTCGCACTCACCCTCACCTACCAGCCCTTATCGAGCATTAGCGGAGTGGGCCAGTCAAAGTTCGACCTTCACCATTACTCCAAATATTGCGTGTTTTCACAATGGGCATGGCCTGCTGATAGCGCTAATGCGCACACGTGTTCCACAAACAGCACAATTCAATTTCCTGTGTGTACCGACCAGAGGACAGTATATGTTGCCTTGACCTATCCGCTATGACGTTTTTAAAACTGTGTGCTGCACAACCACCAGCATTGTATCGACAATACGCTGGTAGAGCATTCAAATCACGGTTCCGTTACACCAATGGATTCGCATCGCAATTGGGACGAAACCAATCCTCGACACCCCTGCTGCGTACTGCACAACGACCACAACCTACTCAACTCACCAAGTCCATACATCCAAAGTCACTACAGCCTAGCTTCGGAGTCGCAACAGCAACAGTGCCACAAGATGCGCCATCAAAACCGCTTCCAAGCTATGTACCACCAACTACCGGTATCTTGTCGTATCTGCCACAGAAATTCGTCCCATATGGCGAATTGATGAGACTAGACAAGCCTGCTGGAACCTACTATCTCTTCTTTCCGTGCATGTTCAGCACACTCCTTGCTGCCACCATGGCCATGCCTGTTGCCGCGCCTTCCGCAGTCCTAGGAACGACAGTCCTCTTCTTCACTGGTGCACTCATCATGAGAGGAGCTGGATGTACCATCAACGATCTCTGGGACCGTAATCTCGATCCACATGTTGAACGAACGAGATTACGACCAATCGCTAGGCGAGCCATTACTCCTCTGCAAGCTCTTGTCTTCCTTGGTGGACAGCTTACGACCGGTCTTGCTGTGCTTCTTTCTTTTCCAGCTGAATGCTTCTGGTACGCTACGCCGTCACTTATACTCGTTACTCTCTATCCTTTGGCAAAGCGAGTCACGTATTATCCACAGTTCGTCCTGGGTCTTACGTTCTCCTGGGGTGCCATGCTGGGCTTTCCTGCGTTGGGTATCGATTTGCTTGCGAACCAAGCGGCTTTGATCGCAGCTACATGTTTATATGCTAGCAATGTTGCATGGACCGTTCTCTACGATATGATATATGCCCATATGGATATCAAAGATGATTTCAAGGCTGGCATTAAGAGCATCGCGCTCAAGCATGAGAAGGAAACGAAGCAAGTACTCTCGGGCCTCGCTGTTGTTCAGCTTGGTCTGTTATCCGCCATGGGAGTTGCAGCAGGACTCGGGCCAATCTTTTTCGTTGGCTCAGTTGGTGGTGCAGCCCTCACACTGGGCACTATGATTCGCCGAGTCAAGCTGAAAGAGGTTAAGAATTGCTGGTGGTGGTTTGTCAATGGCGCATGGTTCACAGGGGGTGCCATCAGTCTGGGTCTCGCAGGAGAATATGTCGCGCATCTGCTTGGTTGGTATGAGGATGTTGAGAAAAAGGAGGCAGGCAAGATGCATATTAGTGTCTAATGCATACTCCGCATGACAGGTAGGTTTATTACACAGTTATCCGATGATAAATTTTGGCTATACGAAGCAAAAAATCTATAAGGATAGTCTTGGTTATGTTTTTCATCCATGAGAATAAGTCAAGCTCCTGTCTGGAACATACATCTCAACCACTGTCATCTGAAGTCAATCCTCCACTATACTCCATATTATTGGATGCATGCAGTCAGAAGTTTTCCAACTTTGTAGGCTTTGCTATATCCACCGACCTTGCTCTTTCCATCAGCCTTATTCTTTCCACCGACCTTGCTATATCTAACGATCTTGTTCTTTCTACCAACCTTGCTCCTTCTATGAGCCTTCTTCTTTCTACTGACATTGTTCTTTCCATCGAAACTGCTCTATTCAATGTGCTGCATGAATTTATATCAGTATCTGAACTGATCGAAGGGGTCGTTCCCCAGGACGATGGCCCAGCTGAGCAAGCGGATGCTGAAAGTGGTGACTGTTCTGGGATAATCGGCGTTATCGTTTCTTTATTGACAATGATGCTATTAGAAGACCCAGTTTCTTCATCCATTTCGTATGTTGCTACCATGTTTAGTAAAGACGTAGATTGTATGACAATAGGGAGGCGTACTCTCTACCCGATCATTTCTTAGCCGGCGACACAGTACAAATATGAGAGAGTCCTGGTGATGCAGACCAAATAAGGCAACAATCACACTGAGGACACCAGCAACGCCAAAGATGATCTGCAACGCTGCGCTTATCATGCCATCATGTTTGGTTGACATGGTTGGGCCTTTGAGGTGTATGCGGAGTTATGATTGGTGGATCGTACTTATCAAAGAACGAGTAGAAGGTGGGCAAAAAAACGCGGATTGAGAAGCGGTAAACTAATACAAGATGCCTTTGAGAAAATACTGTGAGTAATTTCATGATTAGGAATAAGAAGTTTGCCGCTCTCTTAAACACGTTTCTTGGTTATGGCGCTGATGGTGATGTTGTCCGCCAAGAATCGGCAACCCGGCCGGAGCTGAAATCAACATCTACATAAGTTTACACAGCCACCCGCTCACTACGCAACTTGTGCTTTGAACTTCCCTATCTAGCCACTGCTGTAAGTAAACGCTCCTCTAGCTGCTCTAGCTGCCTAATACTGATTAAGCCAGCTGCTATAAGCGATCTAGTAAGATTCCAGCGTTCGTCACATGACTAGGTGCCATCCGAAGACGGACAATTCACACGTCTCAGTATGGTTGTAGCCAATAAGAGCAGAGGTTCCTGCTCCCCTTCCTCCGCTTCTCCTTGCATGCAACCCCTTTGGGGGCCTATCGTAATATGCAGCTACAGCTACAATAATGTTTGCTAATTTGGGCTTATTACTTTAAATTTGGTTCTTTGGTTACGATTAAGGCTCGTGCTAAACCAGTACTACGAATGCACACGGCATCTACACCTCTAGATCGCAAATGCAACATCTACTGCTGACACTGCAAAGACATAATGGCAGCCTGATCGGTGTGTTCATTCCTGAATTATATTCTAACGGGTCATCTACTTCCTGTATTACGATGCATTTGGAATGACTTACATAAACTGAATTCCTGCTCATCTTTAAGGATTATTAGATTGCGCATTTTACTAGCGCCCTCCATACTACAGTACATCACGAGGTGTAAAGTATGTTCACAAGGCAGGTAAGCATTGCAGCAGACCGTAAAGATCTGGAGAGGTACCCATATTCTTACTCTTGTGACATACCCGTATCTAGGCCAAAAGTCATGCCCAACAACCAAACAAATCCGTAGAATTGATTTCTGCTGAACAAGAACCATACCCAGCCTCGTACAGTATTACTACAAGTCTTTTCTCCTCCGTTTTCTCTCAAGCTCACTTCACCTTTGATAAAATCTTGTTTTTAATCAAGCAAGATCTGAAAGTTAAACGTATCTTATACAAGACGATTGCATGTAATAGAATCTTCATAGTCAACTCGCTTTCCGTCATTTAGAGCATACAATACGTCGTATCGCTTGACTACCTTGCGAGACATTGTGAAGATATCCGCATGGGACTCTGGTCGGAAATTTGATCCTATGACGTTGCTTTGAAGATGAATTGAATATGGCTTCTCTCACGATGCGTTCAAATTGTCAAGTGTCAAATATTCAGTAAAGTAAGGACATGCTCGTATTCTTGACCCACATCAAGGTCCCTGCCAAGCGCGGCGTTCTGCCACTCGGGCCCGCCCAGTGACAGCATAGCTTCCCCAAACTCCTACAGCCAGCTTCGCGCGACATCTCCGCGCCAACTCTCCACTTCGGCGCCTCATACTTGCATAGAGCGCTGCAAGTAGTATATATAGTCTTTGTAACACCCACCACTTGATCTGAGCGGCCAAAGACACAAACGCGCCCCAGCAATGGCTTCGCGACTGGTGCTGGTCCTAGGCGACCTCTTCATACCAGACCGCGCTTCGGTACGTCTCCCAAGCCACACGTGTATTGCTCGAACCTCACAGACTCACAGGCGACTTAGGATATACCGGCAAAGGTACACTTGTAGACATTTCCTTTGCACTGCCGATTGGATGCTCCAACGTAAACACAGAGAGGCGCATGGGCTCACACCACCCCGCAGTTCAAGAAGCTCCTCGCGCCCGGCAAGATCGGCCAAATCCTCTGCTTAGGCAACATAACCGACCGCGAGACGTACGAATTCCTGCGCGGGATTGCGCCCGATCTGCAGATTGTAAAAGGCGACTTTGACGTGGAAGCGCCGAATCTCGCCCTGTCAAAAGTAGTCACGCACGGCAGCCTGCGCATAGGCTTCACGCACGGCCACACCATCATACCACCGGGCGATGGCGACAGTCTGCTGATAGCGGCGCGCCAGATGGACGTCGACGTACTCTTGTGGGGCGGGACGCACAAGTTTGAGGCATATGAGATGGAGGGCAAGTTTTTTGTGAACCCTGGGAGCGCAACGGGCGCCATGTCGACGGGTTGGTGGCCCGAGGACGAAGATCCCACGCCGAGCTTTGTCCTCATGGACGTGAGTCTTTTTCCTTCTTACCTTTTTACCCCGCGAAACATCTACCTGTTACACACGTCCATACACATGATGTGGACGGGGTCAAGTGTGGAGCAAATGAGAAAGCACGAGGCTAACAAGGGGGTGTGTGCGCGCAACAGGTGCAAGGTGACGTGCTTGTCCTGTACGTCTACCAACTCCGCAAGGACGCCGAAGGCAACGAGAACGTTGCGGTGGAGAAGGTGTCATTCCGGAAAAACGGAGGTGGTGCAGCATAGACGGAAAATGAATGGTTGTACCAACGAGCGACGACGACGGAGTGGGGTGGGTTGGAAAGACTGAAAACGCAGATCATATAATGCGTTCGTTGTACAAAGCACTTCCCCCGACTAGTAGTAAGACCATGATTCATGTGTGTTCCCCCCAACGAATAGCGAAAGTTCCAGGGTCCCACTGCATCACAAGATGCTATTGTGTGCTCCCTTTTTTTTTCTACCCCTCTTTCTCTGTCTCTCTCTCATTTGCCCAAATGAAACCTCATCAAGACGATCTTTCTATCTAGTGTTCGACTCGTACACAAACGTGCAGGAAGTTTATATCTCTGCACTCATGTGGTGATCTGCATCAAGTTATGGATTTTTTATCCCCTAGAACTAAGTTATCCACGGACACCGACGGACACCGAAATATCATATCTTAGCATTAGTGTCACTTTTTAGTTTTATTCCTAATACTAAGTTTAACCCCCCCGCATGCATTTTGCACAGCACAAGGGCAGGCAAGATCGAAATGTCTCACCCGCGTGAGTTTGGGGAGAGAGAGGCTATACGCACTTCTTGCATATACTTGAAGCATAAACTAACATTTGTTATTCTTCGGTACAAACCAATTAGAAACTACGTAGATTAATGGATGTTTTGTGCACTGCACATGATGCTACCTATGCAAAAAAAAAATCCGCTTGTCAAAGAAAACCTTTGCAGCTTTGTTGGGAAAAGTGTTATGCCACGTCTGTTTCTGTTTCTATCAAACATGTTTCCATTCCATTTTTTCCCTTTTCGTTGATCTCCACTCTCTCCCCGTTTAGGAGTACAGAACGTGCAGAAACCACATCATTAACACCGGTCATGCCGAACTTACTGGCTCTTAACGTATTTGTGTGTTTGTGGATTCATCACCACTACGCTGTTGCTTCACAGGCACATTACAGGTGTTCCTGCATGCACATATGTGTAGGTTGAAAACGCATCCCTAACCCCCCAATAAAATCCGCCAACAAACTCCCATTCATCTTTTCTGCTGCCCAACCATCACCACCACCATGAGAATAATCAAGCCCTCCCCTCCCCCCCCCCAAAAAAAAGCCTAAAAAATCAAGTGGTTTCATACGTCCACCTGTTTTCTCCCCCACCCCCACTTTACATCTTGATTGGACGCTGAGCTACATGACGGGGGGGGACCGAAGCGAGAAGACGACTTGTCCATTTCTAACTCGCTGGTTTTATTCGCAACTTCGCTTGAGGCCTTTATTGAGGCTTTTTTTGACACTCTGGCTGGAAAGTAGAGGGCAATTACATGTCAACACGAATGGGTTTCCCGAACTAGCTAAGTGCGAGAAACTTGGTTTACGACTACATAGAGTGGGGAATGGGGGGGGGGAGTGTTGGCAAGTGCTGCTTGTGTTGAGGAGAAGAAAGAGTGGGGGGTGAGGGAAGTGCAACGTTCAGAGATCGGTGTAGAGGGATGGATGGGAAAGAGAGTTTGAATGGGGGTGGGGAATGCTGATTGTCATGCGGTTTTTTTTGTGTGTAGTATGGCCCCCGGTTTTTTTCTCGGATTGAAGGTAGCGGGGAGGCTGAGCGGGAGGATACGGGAGGAGCAAGAGAAAAATGGCATGATTGAGTACATCAGCAATGGTTAGGTGGGGAGGGGATGATTTGCATGTAGTTCAGACGGGACGGGAAAAAAAGAAGGCGATGCTACATTGCCATTGTTCCATTATAGAGTGGCAATGGGGGTAAACACACATGCAACATGTACGGTTGGGTGGTGGGGGCTAGTAACCCTTTTTTTCTCTCTCTCTCTTTACTTTTTGGGTGGGATTGAAAGAACGGTTCGTTGGCTTCTAGCTCTTGTCGCCGTCCCGCTGGTTCAATACGTGCTTGACGGCGGTACCGACCTGCTCGAAGACGGCGGGCATGCAGGCAATCATGCCCCAATTGCGCTCACCTTTGATCTTGCGGCCGGCAGAAAAGTCAATCTGCTCGCCGCGGAAGTCACTAATGATACCGCCGGCCTCCTGGAAGAGCAAGTGGCCGCCGGCGTGGTCCCAGATGCAAGTGAAGCGGTCGAGCGTCTTTGGGATGCGCACCATGACGTCTGTTGCGCCGAGGGTGAGAGCCACGTATTTCATCTGCTGGGACCATAGCACGGTGCCTGGCCAGCTTGCACCGAGGGCAGTGGCAACGGCTTCGTGTTCCGTCTGCGAGAGCGACGTCTTGCCAATCGTGGCCTCGACAAAGTTTAGGTCAGAGGTCTGCTTGGGTGGTAGCGTAGTCAGGTCCACGTGTCGGGCGTGGGCTCCAGGACCGCTGACTTCCATGGTACGCAAAAACGTGCCTTGACCCTTGACGGCCGAAAGGACCACGCCATAGCCGTCGCTGTCGACGTCGTCTTCGCTGATGCGTATCGAGCCCAGCGTGCCTTGCAGGGGAAAGGCGAGGTTCGGACACGCAATCACGCCCACTTGCTGTACGCCATCAACAAGCAAACACAGACAAACGGCGTACTGCTGGCCCCGCATAAACGTTGCGGTGCCATCGACGGGATCCATGACCCAGACACGTCCAGATCCCGTGACTTGGCCGTTGCCGCCCCGGTCAATCAGATCGAACATGTCCTCCTTGGATGCGGGAAACGCTAGCACTGGGTCTTCCTTCAAGTCGTGCGCAGCAGCAGCAGTGCTTGCAGTTGCCTTCTCATCTTTGCCGTTTGCATCCAGACGCGCATCAGCCTCCTCTTTTGCCTGTTGCACAAGCTGCCATACCCGGTCAGCCAGGGCCTCGTTTTGGCGCAGTGCATCTGCGCTCTCCTCGCCCAGAAAGGCGTCGTCAGGATACACGGCATGAAGTGCGGAGATGAGGAGTGCTTGTGCGGCAAAGTCTGCAATCGTGACGGGACTGTCGTCTGCTTTGGTTTCGGCAGACACGTTGTTGGAGAGGTTCCGGAGCACCGATTTGGTGAGGACGGATGCACGGTGGACGGCGCGCAGGGCGAGTCGGAGCTCTGCGGTATAGGCCATTGCGGGGGTAAATTCGCGGGGAAAATAAAATGTCCACTATGTGATACGTATTGCAAAATTGCTACTATCAGCGGTGTTTAGACAATGGTTTCAATGGCTTTGTTCAGATGAGGTGATGGACGTGTTAGAAGCTACTTTGCAAGCGCATAGTAAGCGAGGCTGGCGTGACTTGAACATTCTGAGAAGGAAAAAAAGTCTTTTTTTGCTCAATGAAGCTCAGTCCCTACCAACAGATACAAAAGACAAATCCTACATGCTACAATGAGCAGGATACATATCAGACATGGTGTATTATATATATCCTGACCATAACGCCACCACTATTCCATTTACATTTAATACGAACAATGATTTGAGTTATCTCAAAGTCAAACAGACGGCCCGAATCTGGGCTTGATCAGGCGAGTATGGTGTATCGTAGAATGCCATTAGGACCCTGAGAAAAAATATCATTGCGGCGTATCTCCGATTCTACCCGCAGGACCCTCTCGTCGCCAACAGAGGCCGAGTGGGAAGGATAGCCGTTGAAAAGAGAACCCACTTTGAATCCACCCGCCTCAGCAAACGGGCCGATGTTTCGGGGTAGTTCCAAACCCGGGAGATGACCATCAGGGATCAAGCGAGCACAGAGAACGAGGCTGCTCAACAGCAATGCGCGCCTCAGGGTTTGCGCTCCGTGCTAGAATTGATGGTCGGAGTACACTACACCTAGAGTGAGGTGCTTCTGCCACTTATGTTACATAGCATGCACTTGGCTGCGACGAAAAGGGATTGCCTGTTGCGGGGTGCAGCGCGTATATCTATCGGGTACGGATGCCCCGGGAGTGAAGGATATTGGTGAGAATGGCGGTGTTATGTACCCAAGTGTATTATTACAGATGCTTCTGTTTCCAAAGACAAAGTGTTTGGAGTTCTATGCGCCAACTATTGGGCCAGTCGTGTCCTGCATCATCTCGCATGGCGAGCACACAAGCGACGGGCTGCGCGGAGGGTAGGGGTATGCTGTTGTTAGATGAGGCCTAGATGCTCTAGCTGCATCGCCCTGAGCCCTAATATCGGCGATGAGAGGAGAAGGTTTGAGTATTGGCTAAGTGCATCATGGATGTGGATGCATGGATATTGAAGGAGATATTTTGGGGGTGTTAGTTGTGTGGTTTGTTGGGGCTGATAGGCGTGTCAAAAGCACAGTGAATGTCCAAGGCGTGTCGCACACACGGATGCAGGCAGAAGGGCGCACATAGTGTTTGTGGAGAAGGCAATGTAGGAAACGAAGAGAGCTTTTTTGGGTCCAATAGTCGTCACTGCCTCGATTGTCACGGTGCTGAATCGCGGGCGGGCGGGACGGCAAGAGGGACAGCTAGATAAGCAGAGTTTCAAGGGGGCCAGATTAGAACAAGTGTGGATGTGGCGATAAGAGCGAATGGAGTGGTTCCTGCAGACGAGTGTAAGCGTCAACATGTTCACTTTTGTGCCGTGCGCCATCTAGGGTCCTGCAGCAACGAAGGACGTCTGCATCTGGGCAAAGAGGAGGAGCGTGGGGGCTGTCTGTGGTCGCGTATGTAGTATAGTGAGGGAGGAGTGCATGCAGGCTGCTCGTGCTCGTGTTGGATATAAGCGTGCAAGCGACTTGCAGTTGAGGGCAGGCTGGTGATTGGTGCGGAGGGGGCCATGGGGGGGCGTGAGGGCAGCTGGAACGGTTTGGTGGACGGTTGCTGGTTGCCTGGGCTGGTAGGGGCGCGGTTGTGTGGGCCGAGCGTTCTTATCTCGCTTGCCCTGGGAGGGGAGGGGAGGGGGGTGTGGCCATAGTGGATGGATGGAGGACGCTCTGGAATGGTTTGCGCAGGCCATTGACAGCGGGAGAAAAAAATATTTGAGCACGAGTTTGTGGGACGGATAGAGGCTGGCGTCGCTGAGGCCGGACGCCCGGATTGGGGGGGCTGGCCTGAGCAAGAGTCCAGATCAGTCTGCCGGGGGACGGATTGGGAGAAGAAAGGCGTGAGGCGCTCAGCAAGAGGCGAAGCGAGGCATGAGACACTTGCAGGCACATGCCTGAGGAGTTCGCAGCATTGAGGGATGGGGTTTATTGGGAGAAGAAAAAAGAGTGTTGAGGGATAGCACGAGGCGTTGCGGAGGTCAAAGGTGTGAGGGTGGTGTGTCGTGCATGGGGAGGGTGGAGATGGTCGCTGCAGGACAAGGCGAGTGGTTCTCCTACTAAGATTGGCAGACGGCATCGAGCACGTCAATGGCGACAGATAACGTCTTCAGTGTCGCAATAAGCGGCAGACATGGCTCTAGTGGGGCCAAGAAGAAGAGGCACAAGGGGGAGGGGGGAGCTTAGGCGAGCGGAAGCAGAAGGAAAGAAAAGCAAGTAGTCAATGTGTGTACAAGTATAGTAGCATGGTATAGTTTGGCAGTGTGACGGCAGCAGAGGGACATGGCGATGGGATGGATGGAGGGCAGCGATGCCCCATGACTGCTGAAACCGATAAGAGGCAGTGTGGTTGTGGAAGAGGGGCATGGAGCTTGAATAGGAAGCCTTGTTCCTAGATTTGCACATTGCAGTCATCTGGTGCGCAGGCGCAGGGCCGGGGCAGATGACTAGCACTGGTTGCGTAGTCACGCAGTGGGCGGGAGAGTGGGCAGAGTGGGCAGAGTGGGCAGAGTGGGCAGAGTGGGAGGGGAGGGGAGGAGAGGAGAGGGTGAGAGGGTGAGAGGGCAGAGCGGAGGTGTCAGCAGGCAGAGTGAGAGGGCCATGGCAGTAAGTAAACACCGCGGCCGAAGATTCTGGTGCATATCCGCACATGTATGTATGTATGTAGGTAGGTAGTAGGGTGGGTGGTGTAAGTCAATGGCATGCTAGTGGTACACTACACCCACCTCGAGATGCGCATTCACACGGCGTTTGGGCTGCACAGGGCGCGGTGGAGAGGCATGGCAACAAGTAGGACGTGGGCGTGGGTGTGGGCGTGAGGGGTGCATGCAGCGCTCGAGGCTACAGCGCTTGCGACGAAATTCAGACGTCGTTGGTTGCTTGGCTGCATATGGTCAGCCCGTGCGGAGACGACCAGGGATGGCCGAGGACCCTGTCGGCACCATCTGCTGAGAGGCGACTAGGGTCAGCCGTAGTCTGCGTGTGTGTGCGTGTGTGTGCGTGTGTGTGCGTGTGTGGATGCGTGTGGGTGCGTGTGTGGGTGCTGCCAGTGTAGTGTGCCTGAGCGCAACTTAAGTATATCCCCCATCCACTCCCTCCCGCCGCCGCTCCACACACGGACGCTTCATCCGCTCCACCTCGCTCTACTATATCTCTCCTGCCTGACCACCCTCTCTGACTCCCACTTTCACACCTGCCACCCGCTCCCTCTACACAAAACCTGTTGCCTGTCCCTCGTCCGCCCACGGCTTGACCACACCCTACCCCAGCGACTCAATTACCGTCGCCCTCTCTATATATATATAATATCAACCACCACAACCACAACCACTCCTACATCACCCGCCGCAATGGCTTCCCAAATGGAGTGCTTCAACGACTTCTGCCTCTCCTGCGACCGCCAGATTGCCGAGAACGGCGTCTACTGCTCGCAATCGTGCCGCCTCGCTGACCTCGAAAGGGCCGGCACCACCGCACAAGCACCCTCGCAACTGTCATCCTCGGCCTCATCGTCATCCTCGTCCAACAGCGGCTTCTACCTCGCCCCCGCAATCAACTTCTCGGCATACAAGGCGGCATCCACGTCGTCGCAAGCAGTCCCCTCGAGCCCCTACCACTACTACCCCACCGCAAACGGCAGCTACTTTGCACCCCCCACGGCAACCAGGCAATCACCCCAACGCAGCCTGACTCCCTCATCATCACGCTCCTCGCTAGCCTCTTCGTCATCATCACGGACTCAATCGGGCATCTCGCAACAAGCGGCCACGCAGCTCAGCAGCTACGTACGATCGTTTGACCAGACCCGAGACGTCAAGAGGAGGTACACACAGTACTAAGGCCCCTTCGCCCCCTTCTGCCAATCTCGCCATTTGCGAGGCTGGCCTCACGACATTAATGACGGCGGAGCCTTTTATCCCCCCCTTGCGTCCTTGGGCTCTCACTGCCCCTCCTCATGTTCAGTTTTGCATTGGGTCCCATGGCCTCGCCCGCCTGGGACTGGCATGGGTCCACGGAGTTCACCTGCATAAGCACCACCGCTGCTCTCCCTTTTTCCACCACCTACTAGTTCTGTAACCATTTCCTTTGTCAAGATACGTGGGTGCGCGGTGTACGATCAAAAAGTATTTATATCCATATCCCCCTTTGGTGTTTCTGGGGGGCGCAGGGCCGAGTGAGCCCCAGTGTTTTGTGTTATCTGGAGCATTTGCAGCCCCGGCGATGGGTTTGCTCGTAGTTGGGACGGCTGGATATCCTCTGTTGCGTGAGCCGACTGCGAGAGTCGTGCCTGCTTTTTCTCACTTCACCTCACCTCTACCATAGCTTAGTAGTAGCGATTCCTCAAATGGAAGCCACGACCACGGGCATAGACTCGTGGTCTTTCACACACACACACACACACACACACACACACACACACACATACACACACACATCTACACTCTTCTCCTATACAGTGATGACTAGAGCCCTGTCTACACGTGATGAGGCACTCTTCTCATCTCATCTCACCTCACCCATCCATCCATCCAGTGCATAGCCTCATACTCAGATAAGCCCAAGGCGAGACAGGTGAGACATACAGGGCGCGCAAGGCTTAGTCCCTCTGCCCTCTCCATGGACAAGGCGGTTTAAACTTTGGTAGCCGCGCAATGCCCTAGCCCACACATGGACGGTGACTGCGCAGGGTCACAATTGGGGGGGCAGCATGAGGCACGACTAGGGGCCCTGCCCGCGCGGGAGTGCCAGGCAGAGGAAGAAATTTTTTTCCCTCACAATGATCCAGAAGCCAGCCACAGCCTGGCCGCACACAACGGGCATCAATCAGCAAGTGAGGGCGCGGTGGCGAGAGTTGGACAGCAGGGAGGGTGGGATGTTGTTGAGAGGGGTTTCCCAACGAGCAGGGCAGCATCCACTCTTGCGCCGTGTCCCCTCCCCTGGGAAGGGCGAAGGAGTTGGCCATGTTCCCTACTCGTCGCCTGTGTCCTGACTCGCCCGTCAACGCCCCTGTTATTGGCCCATGCGCCCGATGGGGTGGGGCGCCTCGTAGCTTGGCTTCTCCGCACTTTGGTGAACGGCCCGTCCATCGTCATGGGCACCGCCGACAGCCCTCAGTCCGCCACTCACCATGCCTGCGAGCAAAAAAGCAATCGTCCCACCCTCCGTCATGCCGCCTTTCTCACCTTGGAGGGGGGAAATGTCGCCATTGCGCGACATTGCCAGCGTCATCCCAGTCGCCCAATCTACTACAGCCTTCCATTGCAATCGTCATCACTGTTCCATGCCTCTGTTGCAAAATTAGCACGCTACTATTACTACTACTACTACTACTACAATCAAAGGCCTCATGCCCACCCCCCACGAGGCAATTTTTTTCCTTCTTCTCCCCAGGCCGCGACGACTTTCCTTCGGTCCCCCATCCGCGCGCTGCCAGCTCACCAGGGCTCCACTTGGCAAGCGAGCCCCGGGAATCACAGTGGACCATCCGGGCCCCACGGCTCTGGAGGAGCACTCACGGCACATTCCCTTAGACGTGACTATGTAACTTATTCCCATCCTAGCGACTCCCGGTGGTTAGGTCATCGACAGAGGCGCAGGTGCGACGACTGTCAAGCGCTCGTCGTGTGACATGGCGCTAGTGCCAAATCCGATCACACCACTCACAGTCCACCTTTTTCTTGCTCGCTTGCTCTCGCCTGCCTGCTCTCCGCAAGGGCCTGGTGAACTATTCCGAGATCCGAGCACTTGGACATCGATACCCGCAACAGGTCGCCTCAAAACATTGAGCCTTGCACCGCTTGCGGCTCCCTTTCGCTTTGCGTCCGCCTCGCATGCAAGCTGCCTGCTCTCTTCGCATCTCGTCCCGTCTTGAGCTAGCCCAGGCCTGCCGCTCTCTTGCGCAGGGTTAGACTGTTCGGATGTTGAGCCCACGCAAAGACCACTTGTCGCGACGGACCGGAGAAGGCTAACACGTCCCCGACGGCAAACCCGAGCACACAGGGCGTGTTGAGCCTCTTCCAGACTCTCAGGAGCCAAAGGCACGCTACCAGGCCGCGACACAAAAACAATTTCTCCTTCTTCAACAAAAGGCTGCCTGCATCCTCGGACCCCCCCCCCCTAGTCATTGGTACCGTTTGCCCGTTGTCTGCTCGTCAGTTTCCGATATTCGGCCCGGAAAAGTGAGTCACTAGTATGCTCGATGCTGTACGAACGGCTGGCCGATCGTCTCGCCCTCCGCATCGCCCTGTGTTTATTGATCCAAGCGATTTGCAATTCCTTCTCCACCCACACACGCACGCAAAAGATACATGCACAATAAAGTCGCCAATTGCGTCCGAGCGGAGGCCTTGCATGCGTCCGGTTCCTGTCAGTACGCTGATCACCCACAATCATGGGGACGCCCATCGCCTAGCCGAACGATAGGTTGAACTCAACCGCATGGAGCGTGGCTAGGTGCAGGCGCAAACGTCCAGTTGCTTACATGTGCGCAACCTGTTCGTCTCAAAGGGGCGCATCAGTCTTGGTGACTGTGCTTAGAAACCATACGATGATCACGTTTGCCTCATGCAAGGAACCCGCACGGCAAGCACAAGCGTCAAGCGTCAAGCGTCATCGCGATTTACAATGCCAATATGCACTGGAGCGATCATTTAAAATCATCTAACCTATCGCGTCTCCTCGCCTATCGCGCTGGCTT